GGAAATCGAAGATCACATAAAATTAAGGATTTCATTTATATTGTACAGTGTATTTATTTCCTTATTTAGCTATGTAATGCAATATATATAGAAGGCCAAAACAGGCTGAATGGGCACTCGAAAATTCACAAAATTAGTCTCATTTGACATTACAAGTATTTGGTTTTGCACAGTCTGTTCATGATAACTGCCTCTTCATTCTCCGTTCAGATCATGCTATTACAGTTCTTCTTGTCTATGTGGATTGTGTTCTCATCACTAAAACGGATGACAATGAAATTCAGAAGGTTAAGCAATTTCTTGATACTACCTTCACCATCAAGGACTTAGGCCATGCTAAATACTTTCTGGGGATAGAGATAGCTCATTGTACAGAGGGTTTGTACCTTAACCAAAGAAAATATGCCATGGATATTATTGCTGATGTTGGTCTGATGGGATCAAAACCTGTGGATATTCCACTGCCAAAGGGACATAAGTTCACTGCTGATGGTGTTTCATATCAACAACCTGATCAGTATCGTTGGCTTATAGGCAGATTACTTTACCTTAATCTTACCAGGCCAGACTTGTCTTATGTCGTCCAGCAGCTAAGTCAATTTGTTAATGCACCGACCATTTCGCATTGGGAGTCTGCTTTGCACTTACTCAGGTACATCAAGGGGACTATGTCAAAAGGTCTTTTCTTCCCCTCCTCCAACAGTTTCAAGCTTGCAGCCTACTGTGATGCCGATTGGGCCTCTTGCCAGGACTCTAGGAAGTCTTTAACTGGTTATTGTATTTTTTTGGGTGGAGCTCTTATCTCCTGGAAATCGAAGAAGCAACAAATGGTTTCGCGAAGCTCTGCGGAGGCTGAATATCGGAGCATGGCTGCCATTGTCTGTGAAATTCAATGGATTACGTATCTTCTTCAGGATTTTTACATTGAGCTTCATCTTCCGATTCCTCTCTCATGTGACAATCGGGCTGCGCTCCATATCAGTGCTAATCCTGTCTTCCACAAGCGCAAGAAGCATCTTGATATTGACTGTCATGAGGTTCGTAATCAGTACAAGGCCGGTCTCATCCTTCCACATCATGTTTCTTTCCATGCTCAGGTTGCGGATGTCTTCACGAAATCTCTTTCATTTCCTCAGTTGAAGTTCTTAGTTTCCAAGT